ATTATTTCATTGCTGAGATCTGTGTGATACACTGACAGTGCCATAATCAGTTCCATTAGGCTACACCGCCGTTCCAAAACATGGGTATACAGAATGTCAAGTCACGAGAATAAAAATGCGAAATTTCTCAGTTCAATATCGTGTATGGCCGCCAAGCGCATTCACCACTGCCAAACACCGTCTCCTCATCGACTGCCTGATGCTTGTGAACATGTGGTTGGGGATTCTGCGCCATTGCTCTTCCAAGGCAGCGCCAAGTTCATGCAAATTCTGAGGATGGTTCCTAAGACTACGAAGCCTTCTCCCAAGTGCATCCCAAACGTGCTCTATTGGATTAAGCTCAGGGGACCTCAATGGCCAGTACATGACGTTGATTCCAGCGTTTTGAAGGAAATTTCGTGTCAACATCGCGGTATGCGGCCGAGCATTATCATGCTGGAACTGTAGACCTGGGCCATGAGCCGCCATGAAAGGAACGAGTTCAGGGGTGAGCACCTGGTCGCGGTAAGCAGCAACTGTGAGGTTTCCACGGATGACCAGAAGTCGGGAACGGTTGTTCCTACAGAAAGCACCCCAACACCATGCAACTTCCGCCCCCGAATCTGTCGACTTCCTGTACACAACATTGGGCATACCGTTCACGACATGGTCTCCAAACTCTATGCCTGCCGTCCGCGAATCTGAGGGTAAACCTGGATTCATCGCTAAAGACGACTCGATTCCAGTCTCTCTGGGTCCATCGGAGGTGACGTTGGGCCCACAGCAGACGTTGACGTTGATGAAACGGCGTCAATATTGGCCCACGATATGGACGTCGAGAATGGCAACCGTGCAACCGATTTCGAATGGTCTGTGAGGACAGTCGACCTCTAAACATCTCAGCCCTGGTTCGTGTAGCCGGCAGAAATCTGTCACGTAGTTGACGTAGGACGATTTGACGGTCTTCTGCTCGTGACGTCACACGTGGACGACCCGCTATCAGAAGTAGTGGGCTATCAGAAGTAGTGCCAGTTTGTTGAAGACGACCTCGCAAGTCATACACAGTACCACGGCTGCATCCCATTGCTCTTGCGACGTCAATAACTGATCTTCCCGCTTGCAACATGCCAACGGCACGTTCACGTTGCACATTTGACATTCGTGGCATTTCAAGTACCGTTAGAACTGTGGTTTAAAAGTGTTTTTTCAATTCTTGAGGCCAATGCACACACGCGCATATGTAGAAAACTTCGATGCGAAGATCACGTGATCGACTGCACGTGCAAAACCTGATTTGGCACTAACGTCATTTGCACGACGAATGGATTGGTTTGGAGTGGGTTTTGCTAACGTTTTTATAGAGTCGAAAGATAGGGATCCCATTTCGGATACATAGATGTATCATCAGCGAAAAATTATTCATTATTTTTCAAATTACATTTTGCGAAGTTTCTTTTTTGACTCAGTATATTTTAAATGTTTTCAGCTGAAGTCATGTTACGCCCTTTGAGATCTCCGATCAATTGCATTTCAACCGTTATAAAACGTAGCCACCAAACGCCTGAGGTTGGAACAATTCTCGACATAAACGGCGATTCTCGGTCTCTTTCAGTTCTAGTTCAGATAGGGTTGGAACTACTTAACCTTCTCTGAAGAACCAATGCCCTATTTGCAGGTCTCGTTTTGCCTATGTTTGCTTGGCATATGCTAAGGCAGCGTCTAAGCAGACAAACACGTTACCGTCTTCTGGCCACCAGATCTGTTCTACAGCAACCCATGCTTGTCGTAAGACGCGACTAACGGGATCGGGTGGCCAGGCTCGGTGACTTGGTTGACACATGTCATCGTATCCCAAGTGCGTAGATCGATGCTCATGTTGTTGATCACTGGACTGTGTGGTCCAGGCTCGATTATTTACATACCGCCGCCACATACCTGGAATATATCTGAGTGCGACGTTAAACAACAAACACACAAACTCTTCTCATCCCAGGATGAAACCGAAAGACAGAGAACAAACAATGAATCACTTGTTTGAGTGGCATTTTAGAAGTTGAGACGTACAATATATAACAAGTTTTATGGATAACAACTTCTTTATTTTCGTGAGTGCGACGTTTCGATACAGATTCTTGTACCGTTGTCAAGCAAGAGTGATACATGAGTGATACATGAAGTGTAGGAGCTGCATATATATACTGTATATAACAACCCACCGTCAACAACAACAACCCGAAATGTGTTATTTACAAAATAGACTGTGATTGTGGACAATGCTACATAGGTGAAACATCCCGACCCATCAACACCCGAGTCAAAGAACATCGCACCTCTGTTGCTAATTCCGACACCAAATCAGCTATCTCTGACCACATCAAAGCCAACCCCAATCATCAAATAGAGGTGGTCCGACATCACCATTATGTATCACTCATGTATCACTCTTGCTTGACAACAATGAATCTGTAATATAATCATTTCTTGTATTAAACAAAATTATATAAAAAACTATCTTCACACCCCCACACACACACACACACACACACAGAGACACCCTAGGACATATTCGGGCTCAACAGGTAGGGTCAAAGGTATATAGTAAGTAGGACGGCTTTTTTTAAATTGCCAATTATCTGCGATAATATCTTCTTTTCCTTTTTATCAATTATTTATGTAATTCTACTATTCTTAATGCTACAATTGTACAAATTGATTGTGTTTTTCAACGGATTATATTTTGTGCCGATCACTCCGTTACAGGTACGCGCGTAGGAATATTATATGGATGTGTAAATATGAAGCTGATAAAAGAGATCACTTAACATCTGCTTCCACACAAACAGGAGATCCAGGACTTCGTACTGGCTGTTGGGATTTTAGCTTATCAATATAGAAAACCACAGTAAGAAACCAAACTGTTCTAAAACTCCCCTTTGGAGGTAGGTCGATTTTGTTTCCTTAATTTCAAAAATGGATCCATCAGAGACAAAAATGATGTCCGATGCAAATCTTTATTTTATCTTGTGCCATGAGGCCCGATGGTGAACAACTCACTAGCCTTTGAATGTTTTTACGACGGGTGCTTTCTGTGGTTCATGATTCGTCTTACCTGGTATCATCTATATTTGATAGTGATTCATAAACACTTGCTGATGATATTGTCAGAATTGTAACAACTGACTCCTTTCATTTTTTTATGGATGTGGAAAGTGTTTTGTCAGTTTCCCGACGGAGAATATACACGTTTAGTCGTTATGCTGTGTCCTAACCTGGAAAAGGTTGTATTGAAGTCTGGGCAACCAGAATCATTACACGTTTAAATAATTCAGTTTTCGTTGGCACATTTGAATAAAACACATATTATGACAGTATATTTGATGTGCCTAGTGAATTATTTATGTACCTGAAACCTAGATATTTGCACTCGTACGGAACTCGTCACGAGATTGTAGATGCATGAAATATTGTATTTATCGTATGCCTCCATGTTTTGTTTAAGTAAATAAAAACAATATTGACCTGGATGCGCATGCGTGTTTTGGAAGAGGGTGGACGTACACAACAAACAAACAAATTAACTTTCAGGTCCCACAATGGGCATCTCTCTTTCCCAATACAGAGCTAAAATAGGCCACCCAGACAAAGCGCGAAGAAGCGTGATAGGTACTGAAATCAAAACTACTTTCAGCTGTTGGCAATCTATAGCCTGTTTTTATATTGTATTGTCATATATATTTAAAATGTTTTAGAGTTCATTACTAGTTTAAAATTGAAATCTGTGATAAACTAGTTATTTTACTGTCCTTCGTTGACAGGGTTATATAATTCACCTTTATTTAGTATGAAATTATAACTCGTTTTCAGTCACGATATGGCTGAAATATTATCGATGTGACTTAAAATCTTTACTCTCCTACTCACTACTGAAATCAATAAGAGGTATTGTTCAATGTGCCGGCGACTTCCGATCCGTCTGAGTCTAATACTTGTATCAGATGCTTGTGTCGAGACGAACCCAGGTTCATATGGATCCTGCTCAACACACGGCTCGAAATCAGCCAACCGTGCCCGTATCTAAAACTGGATGGTTGTTTCCCATTACCCCTACATCCCATTACCCCTACATCCCAGTACCCCTACAATTAGTTAAAACAACACACGGCATTTACCTGTCTGGCATAATGAACTTACCCATGGAGCATCGTTTGTGTCGCCTCAAGGAGCAGCTCAATCTTGGGCTGAAAACACCAATGCAATTCCTTGACGCTGTGGGCAATCTCCTCAAATTGGGATAGAGGCTTGTTTAAAAGACAAAAAAATAACATTAAAAATTTAACATGACCTGCTGCTCATATTCATGTCACGACCAGGACGATATCTGTGTATTATATTCATTTATTCATATTAAAAACTTAACATGACCTGCTGCTCATATTCATGTCACGACCAGGACGATATCTGTGTATTATATTCATTCATTCATATTAAAATATTAACATGACCTGCTGCTCATATTCATGTCACGACCAGGAAGATATCTGTGTATTATCGGACATCGGGAACTGAAAGTAAAAGCAACGAGCTGATGGCTACGTTTAAAGACGTAAAATCTAACTCCTCGGATCTAAACAATAGATTTAAGAGACTCGACGACAAGGTGACAAAAATGGCGTCTGATTTTCAAGCGCGTCTCCCCTCACTGCTGCACGAAAACAAGCTATTGAGACTTTTTCGATCTTGTAGGAAGAGAAAGTAGAGGATCTAGAACTGGAAAGTCAACTCACAACCTAATGATATCTATGTTTATTTCCACAGAATGAAACTGGAAGGTCAACTCATTGCCTAATGATATCCATGTTTATCTGCACAGCATGAAACTGGAAGGTCAACTCACAATGATATCCATGTTTATCTCCACAGTATGAAGCTGGAAGGTCAACTCACAACCAAACCAATCAGTTCTTATCTCATCGGTATGAAACAACGATGTGACTCACAATATCCATGTTTATCTCCACAGCATGGAACTGGAAGGTCTAAATGAATCTGTAGAGTACGGGGCAAAGATTAGAAAAGAGTTTTCCCTCCAGAAAAGCGAGATATTTCTCAACCATGGATCATTTGGTGCTGTTCCAAAGTGTGTCCAACAAGTGCAACGAAGGTAAATTTCTAGCGGATTACTTTTGTGGAAGGCTGTGTGTGCGACCTAACACCAAGTTATTCGATCAATTTTGTTTCTTAACATAACTGAAAATATGATCAGTGTTGAAAAAGATTTACTTTCCATCATGGACTCAGACGCCTAAGACAGCAAACTTCATATCTATTGGTGACTTCAGATTCCTGGATGAGATGGAGAGACACCCCGATGACTGGTACAGGAGGAATGCTTACACGTACTGGCAGGAATCACAGGAGGCAGCAGCAGACTTCATGCATTGTGAGCAGGAGGATCTGGTGTTTGTGGAGAATACGACCACAGGTAGCAGTTGTAATGATTCTACCGGTCTGACATTGTAATCAGCTTTTGTCGCCCTTATTCAATAACACTTTGGAGACATGTTTCAGGCAGAAATACATAGCCAAAAATGTATACAACATCTGTCAAGGCAACAATTTGCACTTATAATGTCCAGTTACAACATTGATACAAAGCAAAATGTAGCTATGTATATATGTCATTTGCATGCCTTCACATTTAAAAGTCTGTACCTACTTCGAAATTGATGCATGTACGAGAAGCATTAACTATATTCACGCATGAACAAAGAAACTAATATAAACTGACCGGCAAAAGAAAGTATACATGGTTTTCAAGAGGTCATTACCATTAACCCAGACTACCTAGACACACAAAACATAATACAGTGGTGTTAGCAACATCTGTACTCAACCTGAGATAAATATCACACGCATACTACAGAAACACGTGGCGTCAGACATGCGCAAGTGAATTTCACTGCAGGTATCAAATTACCACGTTGGGGCGACATGTTTCAGTGTATATTTTGACTTCAAAAATATTTCTTTAAAATTTGAGAAATGGTAACCTTTGGTATTCTTTCTTTTGCCGGTCAGTTTATGTGCTTATCTGTGTTGTAATGGGCCGGTGCCCTGTACATCAACTGAAAAAAGGTATATGTATCAGGCAGATAGTGGTTGGTTCAGGGATTCCTGTTCCTGAAGTATACAATATGTTATATAAAGTTAGATTCTCGTACAGGTCGGGTTCGAGTCCAGGATTCAGGGTTTGTCAGCACCATATTTGTTTCACTAAAGATATTTCCATGTCACATATGTTCTCGTCACGATATGGCTGAAATATTGCCGATGTGACGTTAAATAATAACTCACTCACTCACTAAAGATAATTCCTCACCGTGGTTCGATATCATCATCATCGTTTCACTTTGGCCTTTATCAATGTTGACCGCAGGGGTGGGCGGTTTGGGAGGTTCTTAGATTGGTAGCCCATGTTGTGTCTTATTGGGCAGACTACGTTTACCCTAACATGCCTTTGTTTACTCTGGGTACCCGGTAGTGAGGCTTTGGGATAGAGACAGGTTCGCCAGCATGGTTTTTAGTAATTCAAGGCACCGATCCTTCCGCACTCTTCAATGCATATATCCCATGTTTTTCTGCTTAGACAAAAGACATTTGTCTAAATGTCCACTTTGTTCACCATGCAGTTAATGGGTACCCGGTGGAATGATACAGTAAAGTGGCTGTTAACCTTTTAAACGTAGGTCACCTGCAACTCAGGAATCATGCAGAAATTATTTCCAAAATAAAGGCACATTTTGACATTAGTGAAATTTTGTAAATGCAAATTCAATGCTTCATGACAACATGATAAATTTAATCACAGGTATAAACACAGTGCTGAAGTGTTGCCCTTACAAGCCTGGAGATATTCTGATGTACACAACTCTGACATTTAGGCCTGTGGCCTACACCTGTCAGGCCACAGCGGATCTCTTTAAGGGTGAGGCGGCGGAAAATTAAAATAATAATCATAATGAGCTTGAAGGTATTGGAACGCGGATCCACAACCTGCTTATGCAGTAATCCATATGAAGCTGATATAAATTTTTTTGAAAGTGTATTTGATAAATTGGCTAAACAACAAACAAATCTTCTCAGCTCCCACCATGGGCATCTCTCTTTCGCAATACAGAGCTAAAATAGGACAACCAGACAAAGCGAGAATATTTTGAAGTGTGAAAGATACATGTGATACTGACATGGTGCTGGTTGGCATTGCATCTTTATCGTGTGACGTGAGCAATTATTTTAGGAATGCAAATGTACATATGTGAAGAAAACATGAATAACTGAGTAAGCCATGTCAATAAATATACGTTTTTCTTTTTCAAAATTGTAACAGGATTTTTAAAACTACACGTGGAGGAATCTGGGGGTAAAGGGAAGGGTGTATCGAATGGTCCTATTTCATACACTGGTGTTGGTTTGTGTTTTTGTGTTGGTGTGCATGTATTTATTAGTTTGTGTGTGTGTTGGTGTGTCTGTGATAGCGTGCATGCATGTGTTAGTTTGTGTGTATGTGTATGTATGTGTGTTGGTTTGCATGAATACGTTGGTGTGCATGGATGTGTTAGTTTGAGTGAATGTGCGAATGTGTATGCATGTATGTGTTGCTCTGTGTGTATGTGTTTTGGTTGGTGTGTCTGTGTTGGCGTGCATGCATGTGTTAGTTTGTGTGAATGTGTTGATTTGTATGCATGTGCGTTGGTTCGTGTGTGTGTGTTGGTATGCATGCATGTGTTCGTTTTGTATGTGTTGGTGTGTATGTTTCTGTTGGTTTGTGTGAATGTTTTGATGTGAATGTGTGGTTTGGGGTACTAACTATTGTAGCATCATTGAGTCTGTTCAGGTACAATTTTGTAAATATTTCTTGGAAGTTCGTAAAAATCTACCTGTAATAACATGGCTCTTGGTGAATGTGGCAGACTTCCTCTATAAATTACTTATATGACTAAAATAATTAAATACTGGTGTCACCTATTGTATATGCCTTATGATAGACTGCCAAAACATTGTTATATTATGCTCAAGTCCTAAGATGATGTTGGCCGCACTACTTGGGCAACTTGTGTCAAAAATATTTTATTTAAGTATGGTTTTGGCTATGCATGGATCAGTCAGGATGTTGGCAATGTTGATTATTTCATATCCTTGTTTAAGCAGAGACTTTCGGATAATCTTAAACAATGTTGGTCCACTTCAATTCAAAATTCTAATAAGTGTTTTTATTACTCCCAATTTAAGACATTTTTAAATGTGGAAAGGTATTTAAATTCTGATATTCCTTTACATCTCAGATCTGCACTCTCTAAATTTAAATGTGGTAATTTCAATTTAGCTGTTGAAACTGGAAGATACAATAAAGTTAATTACAATGAGAGATTATGTCTATTTTGTAAATTGGACGACAAAAATGTGATTGAAGATGAATTCCATGTACTCCTTAAGTGTGTACGTTTTTCTGATTTAAGGTTAAGATATATTCAGAAATATTTTACTGATTTTGATGTAAATGCCAATTTTATTAACATCATGAGATGTCAGTATTTTTCTGTATCATGTACTTCAGCGCATTAGAAATGTTCCTCTTACACAGCATGTGCACTAAACTATCTATATCATATGCAAATGACTGTATGATGGGCCTGTGGCCTTTTACTGAATAAACTTGTCTGTCTGTCTGTCTGCCTGAATGTGTGGTGTGTATGTATGTGTGTTTGTTGGTGTGCATGTATGTGTGTTGGTTTGTGTGTGTGTATGTTGGTGTGCATGTATCTGTTTGTGTGAATGGGTTGATGCGCATGCATTTGTGTTGGTTTGTGTGTATGTATGGGTTGGTATGTGTGTTGGTTTGCATGAATGTGTTGATGTGCATGGATGTGTTAGTGTGTGTGAATGTGGGAATGTGTATGTATGTATGTATGTATGTATGTATGTATGTATGTATGTATGTATGTATGTATGTATGTATGTATGTATGTATGTATGTATGTATGTATGTATGTATGTATGTATGTTGGTCTGTGTGTGTGTTGGTGTGTGTTTGTTGGTGTGCATGTATGTGTTAGTTTGTGTGAATGTATTGATGTGCATGTATATGTGTTGGTTTGTGTGTGTGTGTGTGTGTGTGTGTTGGTGTGTTTGTTTCTGTTGGTTTGTGTGAATGTGTTGATGTGAATGTGTTGGTGTGTATGTATGTGTGTTTGTTGGTGTGCATGCATGTGTGGTGGTTTGTGTGTGTGTGGTGGTGTGCATGTATCTGTTTGTGTGAATGTGTTGATGTGTATGTATGTGTGTTGGTTTGTGTGTGTATGGGTTGGTTTGTGTGTATGTGTGTTGAATTGTAAGTGTGTGAGTTGGTTTGTGAGTGTGTGAGTTGGTTTGTGTATATGTGTGTTGGATTGTGAGTGTGTGAGTGCGTTTGTGTCGTGGTGTGTGTGTGTGTGCGTTTGTGTCGTGGTGTGTGTGTGTATACATGTGTGTATATGTTTGGGGATAGCAGGGAATCAGGGAATGTCACAGAAAGTCCAAATTATGAGAAGAAATTTCGCAACTTGTGAGGCATAATACCGACAATACTATGTGAAAACATTGACAACATAATGACTCCAGAAAGTGTTCTCCATAGGCGTAATGCTAGAAAGTAGATGTTGTAGTACTTAGTGACATGGAGAAGTTCCACAAACATACAGGTTTACGTTTGTCTCATAACCACTGACTATATTCCTCTGATTCCCAGGAGTTCAATTCTTTGAGATGGAGATCCAATTTCCGATATCGAGTGAGGATGAGATTTGTGAGAAATATGAAGACTTCTTCAAATCCAACCCCAACACCAAAATTGCAATCATAGGTGAGTATTGTTCAGCATAGCCATAAACTGTTCAGATCCGGGTAGAATTGATCTTCAGCAACCCAAGGGAAACATCATTTGTGACTAATTTTGTCTTTTATTCAATTAAATGATAACAACAGTTTCTAAAACATGTGTGTAACCAATATTCCGGAACTCATTAACGCTTTTGCAACACATATTGTTTGAAAGTAATATGGAAACATACGTGAACCATGTACCAGTACCTGAACCCGTGAAGATCCGGGTTAGAATCGATCTTCAGTAACCCATGTTTCTCGTAAGAGGCGACTACCGGGATCGCGTGGTCAGACTCGTTGACTTGATTGACATCGTATTCCAATTTGTGAAGATCGACTCTTACGCTGTTGATTGTCTGGTCCCATGTAGCTGGAATATTGCTGAGTGCGGCGTAAAACACCAACCAACTAACCAAACAGTATACCCATAACAAATATCGGTCCCCAGTATAATATGAGTGTGTTTCCATGACCAAACCTAGTAATATCTGCTTCAAAAGCACATGTTCCACAGCCGCCATGGCGACGTACTTTTGTCTCTGAACAATGTTGTATCGGATTCGCCTGGAGTCGTCAAACATCGCCCTCATAATGTAAAGCCATGCTGTCTCTGTGTGTCATTGTATACCGACACTGTGGACAGTTAGCCGTCCACCAAACTAAACAGACATACAAAAGAAAGTACACACCTGATGGGTTGGTAAAATGTTTTCCTGAAAACAGCGTACTATTTAGAAAAGTGTTTTGATTGCGACTCACAAGTCGCAAACATTGTCTACGTGTTGCAATAACACCATAGATATCGTACCCAATTGGAACATTGCTAGCAAACTATTTACGTTGTATAAATAGTCTCAAAACAACAGGTGCGTACTTTCTTTTGTATATCAGTATAGTTTGGCCGAACCGCTACGCTAACTGCAACCACCTGAGATATCGGAGTGCTGCGAAACGTTCCATTCACTAGCTTAATAATGATCAACACATTTCGATTCTACCAGACACATAAACCCAAAGAAAGGCTAGGGCTCCGTTTCACGAACTGATGGTAGAGCTGTGATTCTCACATTTTAACGAACACTTATGACAGTCTTAGCTCTACGACTCCTCATGAAATAGGAACTTGCTCAGCATCATGGGTATTTTAGGATCTTAGTATCTTCTCGGCATCTTAGCATCTTCGGATGAATGGCCAAGATAATGATTTTGCTGGATAACGTAAATATTGTCTTATGTTTGTATTGACCTTAACCTGTAATTGTATGTCAGATGCCATCACCAGTCCATCAGCTGTAGTGATGCCGTTGAAGCGCCTCGTCGATCTGTGTCACAGGTATGGAGTTATGGCCGTCGTAGACGGTGCACATGCTGTTGGTACACTTCCAGTCAATCTCACCGAACTCGGCGCCGATGTCTTTACGGGTAATTTGGATCTCATACCCAAGGATAAAGAATTTATACGGACAGGTTTTCACGGATTGTTTTTGTTTCCGATTCAAAAACAAATTGTAACACAAATTAAAAGAACTTTAAGCATTTTTGTAAATGGATAATATTTCGAGCGGGCAAATGAGACAGTTGTCATCAGTTTTGCAGCTGTGCAATGTGTTGCTTAAATCATAGAGAATTTGGTGTACATGATAAGTATGGTTTTACGCCGCCTATGATAATATTCCAGCAGTATTACCTATGAATTATATTCTCACATTGTACCCACGTGAGAATCGAGAATCGAGTCCTTCGGCATGAAGGGCGACCGCATTCACTATCAGACTGACTCGATGCCCGTCTATGTTTGTAAATGTAACATAATGAACAAAGAACAACTAACTTAATCCCTAACCCTATAAGCCCTACCTTCACCCAAACCACTTCTCCAAAATCCGGAAGTAATGCTGTTGTTAACATGTTCTGTATAAGGTTCCCAGTTTTTAATAATCAAATGATAACATTGGATGTTTATTTTGTACCAGTGTCCACTGGCATGCTCATGGCGCAAGTAAACTACAGACATTAAAATATAAAATCTATAAAATCATTTGAAGGCAGCCGTGAAAAGCTGTGTCTTTGGATTGTTCTTAAAGGAATCGACTGACTGACTGAGATTGGTTTTACGCCAAACTCAGTCAGTCAGTCGATTCCTTTAAGAACAATCCAGAGATGTAGATAGTTTAATAGGTTGTAACAGAGGGTTTCATTGATGTGGGGCGACATGATAGAAGCTCCTCCAAAAGACGGAAACGAGCAGGTGGAACTGAAAGTAGATGTTGATCCTGAGAACAGAGAGTTGTAGTTGGATTCTGTGAGGAGAGATGTTGAGGCTGGAGCAAGAATGTTAAGCCATTTAAACATCATAGAGAGAACTATATACTTTAGCAGGAAACCAGTGTTGAGATTCCAAAGCAGGAATAATGTGGTCGTACTTAGAAGTGAGTGAGTGAGTGAGTTATTATTAAACGTCACATCGGCAATATTTCAACCATATCGTGACGAGAACACTTGACTGAACTTAGAAGTTAGAGAAATAACTCGGTCAGCTGGATTCTGTATTTGTTGGGTTGTTGTTTAACGTCGCACTCAGCAATATTCCAGCTATATGGCGGCAGTCTGTAAATAATCGAGTCTGGACCACACAATCCAGTGATCAACAGCCTGATTATCGATCTGTAATAAATGACATGTGTCAACCAAGTCAGCGAGCGTGACCACCCGATCCCATTGGTCGCCTCTTACGACAATCATGAAGACCAATTCTAACCCGGATCTTCACGGGTGCTGAATTCTGCACTTTTTGGTGCTTTACTGTTTATTTCTTATACAGGCAGTTTCCACAAATGGCTGTTCACTCCCAGGGGCTGTGGAATGTTATACGTGAAGCGGGAACATCATACCTGGGTTCGCCCGCTGGTGACATGCTGGTGCCACGGACTGTCCCTGGACAAACAGTTCTTCCAAGTGGCTACTAGAGACCAGACCCCATTCACCACTGCCAAATATGCATTTGAATTCTACCAGCGGATTGGAGGAATGGTAACTAACAGCAGCTCGGTGGCTGAATATATTTTGGTTTTGTTTCCAGAACGACATCCTGGCAGTGTATAACTCATTTGCTCGCTTTTCGGCTAACCAAACCACTCGAATACATCACCGTAATTCTTGCGATCTAAAATTACCCGCCCTTAAGTTACATCAATGTTTTTACCAGCCGAAGAGAATTGGGTGAACGAAAAATAATTTTAGGATTTTTTAGCGTTTCAGGAAATATTATAGATTGTATTTGTCGCAAACCTTATCGTATGGAATGGGACAGGCCACCATGTTGTTGAGGTCGCCAACCCAACATCTTTCCTGGTGTTTAGCATTCTGGTTAGTTGGAGTTGAGAAGCATCAAACTGGTTGGTTAAGTCAAGGAGAGGTAATCTGGGATCGGGAGAACCACGGGAATGGCCAGGGTTTAATACAATGAGAAGCATGGAGAGTGAGTGAGTGAGTTAAAATTTAACGTCACCTCGGCAATATTTCAGCCATATAGTGACGAGAAATGTTGTACATACACAATAAATACAAGTAGTTAAATAACCAGTCATCGACGGACTGTAAACTAACTAGAGTATGACAAAAAAGAGTTAAAACTAGCTAAGCATGTATTTTTTAAAAGTAGAATACAATGTAAAAATTGGCTATTGATCGCCAACAACTGAAGGTAGATCACCATACTATGGACCAAGGGGACTTACAATGCCTTTGCTACCTGCATGGACCCTAGCTGGATTTACACCATCCTCTCAGCTGCTGGCGATTGTAGGCAAATTTAGCCACAATTAAAATGACAATAATAATACTACAAGTAAAAAGGTGGAAGATTAAATTTTTCTTCGAATGTTTTGGGACTTACGTATCCTCTCAGGAGGACAATAATTTTACGGTACTTCAACCTCCCTTGAGGATACTGCCACTAACAATCTAAGGTGCTAATTTAACTACCAGTGATAAAATATATATCTATATACAAAACATAGCCATCAATATTTATCAGTTAGTTCAATTTCTTTTAAAAATTCAATAATTCAATGATAATTAATACTGCTAAAAAGATCCTTAACTGTTTTTGCACTAAAATATTTATCCCTTGTGATGGAATAAAGAAGCATGGAGATATAGCAGATGATAGAACATTTATGCTAAAGATATAGAAGGTCATAAAAATATAGACGGAAATGTGTATATTGCTTTTTTATTTTTGATTGTGATGGATTGTATGTATGTAAAATGTGTTGAATTTTCAAAACATATTATTACCAACAGGTAAGGGTGTTACATGCTTACAGACACAATTGGAAAAATTACCTAGTCATGTTCATGTCGTGAATCTGTTTCAGGATAAGATCATCGGCTACGCATCCAGTCTCGCCACAGAGGCACATGAGTATATTCTCAAGAAGCTCCAAGCAGAGCCATTACAGATACCTCAGAGTATGGAGTCTCCCACAATGAGGGTGATCCGACTGCCAGACTTGCCTCAGTACCCATGTACACTGGTATGTGCCAAACATTTGTATTTATTACCCATACGGGCTAGGATACGCAGGTGATTATTTTTGTGAGAATCGCACATGTGCTTTTCAGTGATTCTCAACGTTGATTGGTCAGCTAAGCAGAGAAGAAATATGATTGGTTGACGGAACTACTTTTCATGATCCAAATTCATTGACAAATTCAACAAATTGTTGTCAAACCCTTGTAACTCCACCACTCTGCCCACTCATCCTCAGCCTCAGACTGCAACCATGACGTCACAGTCTTTGTCGCATGCCGTAAATCTTCATTCTGTACATGCACTATTCTCAGGTCCAATTTACGATGGTGTTTTCCACTTCAACATCTCGAATGACTCCTCTGTCAGTCGACCATCTGCTCCAAATAAGCGTATTATTCCCATTGACTCGGATTCCGACTAGAGTTATCCTTCTTGGAACTGCTGTAACACGCCTTCCACAGAACAAAATGTTGTTTTATCTTCAGACTTGTTGAGTTTCTTGACAGAAAACGTTTTCTAGATGTATTCGTGGGATGGTTAACTTTTAGATTTCCCAACTTTTAACCGTTGACTTTCCCAAAAATTGACAGGTTTTCGTCAAAGTGTGTTTCAACACTACACCGTCACCCGTCACTAGACACACGTCAGTCGTGAATGAACGATGTTCCGGCGCACTGACTTGATCAAATAACGTTTTAGCTGTTATTAAGTTCAATGATATTGCATTTAAAAGATCATTGTTATCATATTAACAAATGTTAAACATTTTTGGGGTTGTATCCTAAAGCGGTTTTACGAAGTACTATTTTCCATAGCGTATTTATGTTATTACAGCCGAAGAAGTTAGGTTTAATACGCTCATGCATAGGAATCAGCTGTTTGAGGTCCTGTCTCCGGGTGTTTTTTATTTCGTGGTTCCTCTTTTTGAATTACATTATGGGTAATAAATAGAATAGCCAACAAGGTACGAGTGATTACGGGAAATATGCACTCGTTGAAATAATGTTATTAACACTATTTCAACTCGGGCATATTCCCCGAAATCACTCGTACCTTGTTGGTTATTCTCTAAGTATCATACAGTTGCAAGAAAACGTTGACGCGAGGCATCAACCCTGTATCATGTGTTTATTGAAACGGCAAACAAATTAAATGTACAAGACAATTTCCCCAAAATCAGCACGGGCTTGGTAAGAACAATATTAACAATTCTGGTTTCAATTCATTCTGTTACATCTACACATTCTTTCTGTCTACTGCCACTTTGGCACCTCCCATGATTTCAGTAAACTGCCTTAACAAATTCTGTATTGGAAAACCCTTAGTCAAAACAACTGTTTAACAATTATGAAACAAACAACTTTATGGATGACAACTTCTTATTTATTGCATAGAGCGACGTTACATCGAAGCACTTTTAGCTTGATAACGTTGTCATCCATAACGTTGCATGTTTCATTTTTGACTCACCAACTTCTAGAATGCCTATCAAACAATGTTTAACAATTGTTTAACAATTGACAGAAGTGCACATGCTTTGTTACTATTAAAGTCCCATAGACATTACGGAACACCAGAAAGTAGACCTGAAGATTGCATTGTTAATTCAAATTTACATTTTAAGTAATTACAATGGCAAGAAACGCTATTCGGAATGTGACATAAAAACATAAGAAAGAAAATATCGTTTTGTTGGCTGTTTGCTGTCGAGGCAAGGTTCAAGCCTGGCAGCCTTCGGCTCATACACCTTGTTCATTATTCCCTCTCAATGCTGTGACAAATGTCCTTGTACAGGTTTTGAATTAATGTGTTTTTTTTTTAAAGATTAAAACTAAACAAGTAATAACATGCGGTAATGTGTAAAACACATATACCAAAGCTGCATTGTCTCAGACAAATATGTAGAATGCACGAACTATAAATATGCAGTTACCTCAAAAGTCACATAAACATTTTTTTTAGAACTGTTACCAAAAATTTTACCCTTTCTTACAATTGAATATAGATCATGGAAAAGACGTATGACACCTAAGTATGTAATAACGTGTGAAAAGTGACCAACTATGACTGACTGACTGACTGAGTTTAGTTTTACGCCGCTTTTAGCAATATGGGACACCAGAAATGGGCTTTACACACTGTACCAATGTGTGACCAACTAGGATAATACCTGACTACCCGATCCCTTCAGTTACCTCTTGCGACAGGCATGGGTTGCCGAAGACCCATTCTTACCCGGATTTGCATGTGGTAGACATGACAATGGGAGAATGAGTGAGTTAATATTTTAAGTCACATCGGCAATATTTCAGCCATATCGTGACTAAAACAAGTACTAAAGACATGATAAATACAGAGTTGAATCATAAAAATCCTGTCCAGGAAGATCACTAGTTTGTGAATCTAAATCTTTCTTACACATTACAATGTACAAACAGGTTGATCACCATAGTAGAGACCATGGGGACTTACAATGCTTTTGCTACCTGCATGGACCCTAGCTGGATTTACATCATCCCTTCAGTCGTTGGCGATTGTATTCCAGTTTAGAGTAAACATTAAAAGAACACATTTTCTACGATTAAAACATGTAGTATGAACAAATCTTTGAATGAAGAGAGACTTACATACCCTCTCAGGGGCAATCATTTTACGCTACTTCCTTTGAAGGTATTGCCACAAATAGTCCAAGTCAATAATACATTCTAACAAATTAAAATTCCTTTACTAATTACAAAACAAAATAGAGAATTATCAATTAAATCAATTTCTTTTTAATAAAAACAATAATCAAATGAACATGTACATGTTTAAAAAGATCCTTAATCGTTTTTAAATTGAAATTGTTATCCATTGTGATGGAAAAATCAACGCAGTCAAGCAGGACATGCTTATCTGTGATTCTTTCATCACAAGGGATGCAAAACAGATAATGCGCAACTTTCAATAAATATTCATGTGTGTATCTGCTGTGGCCAATACAACATCGTCGTGTAATGACATCTTCAAATCTGGACTGACAGCCCATATAGGCGTGACCGATAGTTGGTTTAATTGCATGTAATTTATTAATACCCGCTTGAGGTTCCCACTTTTTGCATTAGATCACGGATATAGGATCTAATGACGGCTTTGTACTTCCAGGTCATTGTTCGGACCATCTACAGGCTGCAGCAACGTTTCCGGGCCACCAACTCAAGACAAGACCGCCATGTTGTGCGACAGCATGTACAGAATCCCTTCATGCAGGCATCCGAAACAGCACGCCAGACAGTGGGAACACACGGAAGAGCAATCAGAGCGGGAACCTTCATTGCCGTAGACCTTACCGTGGACCTATCCTCACCCCTCGTCATCGGTGTGAACGTCTACAGTTTGCCCTACAACTCCGAAACTGGCGATACAGGCAACTGTTCTGTTCACAGATGAGAGTCGGTACTGCGTATCAACTGCAGATGGCAGAACACGAACATGGCGACGACGTGGCCAGCGTTACTCAGACCAATGTGCTATGGAACGAGACTCATGGGGAGGTGCAAGCATCATGGTATGGGGTGGATCTGGAACAGACAGTCAAGTGATTAGCATCATGAGCATCGACCCACGCATTTGGGACATGTGCCAACCACGTCCGGATCATCAGTTCATAATTAATTTGTGTAATGTTCAAACGTTTTGAGTAGTTGCATTTTCTGCTTTGGATAATTTGTGTAATGTTCAAACGTTTTGAGTAGTTGCATTTTCTGCTTTTGGGTTTGCTTTGGTTGTTGCTTAATGCCGCACTCAGCAATATTCCAGCTATATGGCGGCGGTCTGTAAATAAACGAGTCTGGACCAGACAATCCAGTGATCAACATCATGAGCATCGATCTACGCAATTGGGATACGATGACATGTCAACCAACTCAGTGAGCCTGACCACCCGACCCCGTTAGTCACTTACGACAAGCATGGGTTGCTGAAGACCAATTCTAACCCGGATCTTCACGGGTTGCATTTTCAGAATTAAACAGATTGGCACCTTCTTGTTTTCGTAAATAGTTATTGAAAACATACCTCAAGGGTAGGGACAATGTTGTTTTGGTAGGGTGGAATCTCAAAACCAGACATCTGTTTTAATTGCAACTTTGAGCTTTACGATATTTTTTCGAAAAAATTCACACCTTGTAGCAATGTGTTTTGTGTCTTTTTCGTTTGGCCTTCTATTGTTTCACAAGCGAATCTTCCCAGAAGCTTAGTTTCATCATCAACTTTTACAATCACCACCTTGCAGCCGTCACCGACACCCTTACATCCATGGGTCGTGCATTACGCCCACCTTGATGCCGAATCTGCAGTAAACGATAACAACAAAAGGTGTGATGGCCAATTCCATTATCTTAACAATACGTATGCTTGATTGGCATCAAAAATGATACACAAAGAGAGTTTTAATGGATGTCAACTTCTTTATTATAAGGAACACAACGTTTCGGAGTATATCCTTACTCCTTCATCAGGTGAATGAATGATATGAGGCAGAGATATTAACATGTACACGCAAGAACAACGAAAGTAATAAGACAACAGATATGCAGGCTAAACAATGGAAACCAACAGTTAACTGGCGTTGATGTGTGATTGGCAAAGGACAAATGGAAGCCAGCACTTAACAGTTAAGTAGTGATAGGTGATGAACAATGGATAGCCGGAAACCTCATACCATTCTTCACCTGATGAAGGAGTAAGGATATACTCCGAACCGTTGTGTTACTCATAATAAAGAAGCTGACATTCCTAAAACCCTCTTCTGAACAATTCGTTCATTTATTGGATCAATTAGTCGTTTTTGGCACTGAAACAGTCGAAAATGTAGAACGACTAGAGCAGTATGTCAAACAAATATTGTCGTATGTGACCAATACTTCTCGTGCTTTTAAAGTGCAAGTTTGTCAAATGTCGTCTTTTTGTCTAAATCTAAATGAACGTATCTCATCCGTTCTAACAGGTATTGAAACGATACATAGACACATTAAGGAAGTTGCTGGATACATACAAGATGTGAGAAAAGTATTTTTATTTCAATGAAGATTTTGTTTGATCGCAATAAATTCCTGATAACTATTCGACAAGAAATTGATGAAATGTATTTGGGAATTCAACAGTTAATCATCGTGTCAGTCCATCTTTGCTCCCAGTAAAGGAAGTAAAGTTAGCTTTAAATATGATTAAAAACGATTCAGTGTGGAATACCCATTGTTTCACGTTGCTCATAAGGATCCAAGTTGTTATTAGAGGGAACGTACTGCTCACTGTTCTCGCACTGCAGAGTCTACTTTAATTTCGCGTATTGTTCCTATCCAAACTCATTCCACTCTCCTTGATGTATATCGAATTAATTCATTCCGTTTACGTATTAATCAATCAAGTACGCATGTCACT